TGAAATGGGTGCCACTTAACAAACTGGGGAAAACGTGAGCACTGAAATAATAATAGTAATGAATTATAACCCATTGAATTAAAAAAATGAGTTCATACAGATATAAATTAATTAATTAAAAGTGTAAGAATGAAATATTTACAAAATTTCAAAGTACACCCCCCATTGTGAAGTTTCACTTAAGGTAGTAGCAAAAATATTAAAGGAAAAATATTAAAGAAAGTTACAGAATATTGTCTCAAACCCTTTTAGAAAGTCCAAAAGTTTTTTCTATAGTTCTTAGCTGAAGGCAACTGGAATCTCTTTGCAAGAGCCAGAGAGATTAAGGCACAAATACAAAAGAATGTGAGTAGTTTACCTAACTAACTTGTTTACTTATGCAATCTTAAAACTAATCTTTGAGCCAGATGGCCTTCTCAGGAGGAGGTCTACCAAAGATTTTACTCACTAATAGTGTTTGCTTTAAGCATGGAACCTGTCCTTTAATATTTAACCTCTAGTGGTGTTGACTCAAGCCTTTGTCAATTGAACTTTACTGAATAAATGTGAATCTCACTGGTTAGTAAAGGCCAGCAGTTGCCACTGTTTACAGCACTCTCCAAGGAGTCTGTAAGCTGCACAGACACACTCAGTCAAACTAGCAAAGCATAATATCTGTTTGTCAGTATACTTTATTCATCCGTCATTAAGTCAAAGTCTGCAGGATACACCCCTGCAAGCAGTGACCCTAACACCCCACAGTACTTGTTAATCATGAAAGGAAAAAATATTAAATTTACAGTAAAGAATCCTGGCAGGTGACAAATTAACCAAATGATCAAAGGCAAGATCAATGCCTATAATCCCAGTGCTCTGGGAGGCCAAGGTGAGATGATCTCTTGAGGCTAGGAGTTCAAGAACAGCCAGGAGAACATAGTGAAACCCCATTTCTACAACAAGAGGGGTGGGAACATCATCAGTAATGGAACAAAGCAAAACTGTGCATCACTTGGTGCAATGAAACGAACTGCAATGATATTTCTGAGTAGCCTGAATGCAGAACCTGAAGCTAATCATGAGAAAATATCAAACAAAAATGAAGGGACATCTGTAAAAATAGACTTGAAATCTTCAAAAGTGTCAAGGATGTAAAAGTCAAAGAAAATCTGAGTAAGGTGACCTTCAATACATCTTGAATTTGGTGTGAAAATTAAGTGGTAGTAATGTATCAGTGTTAATTTCCTGATTCTGATCATTGTATTGTGGCTTTGTGAGAGGATGTCCTTGCTTGTGGAAAGTATACACTGAATTATTGAGTATGATGGGGCATTAGGTTGACAGCTACTCTGAAGTGGTTCAATAAAGGATTCTTTTTCTGTACTTTTTTTTTCTATAAGTTAGTTGTTATTTTCAGAATACATATATGTGTGTGTGTATATACATGTGTATATATACGTATATATGTGCATATATATGTGTGTATATGTGTGTATATATATAGATGTGTATATGTATGTGTGCATATATATGTGTATATGTATGTGTATATATGTGTATATATATGGTTACACACTTAACCATATATATATATATATATATATATATATATGGTTAAGTGTGTGGTACCTCCCCCTTTCTTTCTCTGGCTCCAACCACGTGAAGTTCTGGCTCCCCCTTCACCTTCTGTCATGACTGTAAATTTTCTGAGGCCTCCCCAGAAGCCAAGCAGATGACAGCATTATGCTTGCCATATAGCTTGTGGAACTATGAGCCAAATCAAATATCTTTTCTTTATAAATTACCCAGTCTCAAGTATTTATTTTTTTTTTTATTTTTAAATTTTTTTTTTAAATTGTACTTTAGGTTCTGGGGTACATGTGCAGATCATGCAGGATTGTTGCATAGGTACACACATGGCAATGTGGTTTGCTGCCTCCATCCCCCTGTCACCTACATCTGGCATTTCTCCCCATGTTATCTATCCCTCCCTGACCTCCCCGCCCCCCTGCTGTCCCTCCCTTCCCCCCACGACAGACCCCAGTGTGTGATGCTCCCCTCTCTGTGTCCATGTGTTCTCATTGTTCATCAACCGCCTATGAGTGAGAATATGCAGTGTTTGATTTTCTGTTCTTGTGTCAGTTTGCTGAAAATTATGGTTTCCAGATTCATCCATGTCCCTACAAAGGGCACAAATTCATCATTTTTTATGGCTGCATAGTATTCCATGGTGTATATTCAAGTATTTCTTTATAGCAGTGTGAGAATAGACTAATATACCGTCATAAGTTCGGTTACTCAAGACCACCAAGTCATAGCTGGCCCAACGGTAATCCATCATAAAATGGAAATGGTACATCTGGAATCAGGCATGAGGCAGGTCAGAAAGTACAAGAAACTCCCCAAGCAGGTGACCCAGACACCCATGTCATTACCACTGTGGCACTGCCACTTCACTGTCATCACATCTATGGCTGTTCACATTGCTGACTGGTCACACTGATGACCAACTGACAGAAGAGGAAAAAAATTGGACCTGTTTCATGAATGGACCATCTCAATATGTTGGTGGAAAATATGTAACTGAAGCCCCTCTTGGTGGTGATTCTGAAAGATGATGGGGAGAGAAAAACCCCATGAGCAGAACTACGGGCAGTACACCTGTGCATTTGTTTGTGTGGAAAGAGAAGGAGCCCAAGGTAAGAATATATATGTACTCTTAGGCAGTGATGAATGGCTTGGCTGGTAAGCTAGGGGATTAGAAGGACAAAAAGGTCTGGGAATATACACATGTGGATGGATCTGTGAGAATAAGCATGAAGTGTGAAGATCTTTGTATTGTATCTTAAGGCCCACCAAAGAACAACTACCATGAAAAAGGCACTAAACAACCAAGTAGACAAAATGACATCCTGCCAGGTGATGCCAGCAAATCTCTGTCATAAGCCACTCCAGTGCTGGCACAGTGTTGGAGGCTATGTACAGACAACAGCCTGTGCCCCATGTTTGCACACCAAACACTGAAGTTGCTGGCAAAAGAGACAAATGCAGACCCCCAATATATTAATATCCCTCATAAAACCCAGCCACTTGGTGACAAACTGATTACACTGAACTCTTTCTGCTCTGGAAGGAACAGCAAGTCATTGTGACTGGAACTAATATGTATCTTACCTGCAAGGTCTCAGATAGCATCACCATCTGGGGGCTTAAAAATGATTGATCCCTCAGTGGGATCTCCCATAACATTGCCTCTGTCCAAGAGATACACTTTATAGAAAAGGAGGTGTGGCAGTGGTCAATGGGTTCCATGAAGACGAGATCTACTAGTTATATTTCCTTTGAGAGCTGCCGGCTTGATAGAGTGATGGAGCCACTTTTAGAAGGCATAGCTGTGAAAGCAGCTTGGAGCTACCAGAATGCTGGGGGAGAATGATGATAACTTGGGAAAATGAGGCATCATCCTCCAGGATAAATCAAAGACCATTATAAAGTGTGTCTTCAGTGGTAGAATACATGGGTCCAGGTGCCAAAGAAAGAAAGCAGTGTTCAATTTAACACCAGTATCAGTGACTTACTTAGGGAAATTTGTCATCTTTATACCTGTAGGTCTAGACCACTGCTGTCCAATAAAAGTACAATGTGAGCCACATATATAATTTAAAATTTTCCAGTGGTCACATTGAGAAAGCCAAAAAGCAAAGGGTGAAATTCATTTTAATAAAGTTTTTTACTTACCTACATGTACCAGTCACATTTCGAGTGCTCAGTGGCCACATGGGGCTAGTGGCTCCTGTACTGGACAGTGCCAGTCTAGAGACCTTAGTTCCTGGAGGCAGAATGCTTCTACTAAAGGAAACAGTAGGTATTCAATCGCTTTAAGCTCCTTATGCCAAGAAGCCAGCAGGCAAGCAAAGGGGTCACTGTATTGATAGGGTAATTGATCCTAATAGTTAAGATCATGGAACATGGCAGGGATAGTGGAGAATTCACTTGCCACTCTTCATATTCCCTAGCCCAGTGTGTATGATAAGCTGACAAGTGGAGCAGCCATAGCCTGAGAAGTCATGATGACCAGGGGCTGAGATATCTCAGAGATGAGAGTCTAGTAAGACCCCAAGACCAACAGAGGTACTAGCTGAGCATAAAAGAAATCTAGGATGGGGAGCAGGAGAGGAAGAAGAGGAGTATTAGCAATGGTCTTCAGATAAGGCAGAGTAATGTGAGCCAGCCTTTCTCAAATACATTTCCCAGGACAAGAAACCGTCAGATTCCTGGAGGAGCTACTCCAAGGTGAGGTGAAATTCCTACACAAAGCAAATGGACAGTAGTGGGTGGTACTGGGTACTATGTAGAACCTCCCTTCAGGGCCAAAGCACTCATTTCCTTAGATGCCTGGGTGTTGGCTGTTGATGACCCAGAGATGAGGCCCCTTCTGAGCGTTGCTTCAGCCAAAGGAAACTGCCTAGGTTATATCCTCCCAGGGGCATTCACATCCCCTGTAGATCAGTGTGGAAGACCTAAAGCCCACAGTAAATTTCCTACCTCACTGAGGGACAACTCCGAAGGGCCATCCTAGCAACACAGTTTCTTATGGCATCTGCTGAGGCCTGCTGTGATTGCCTCAGGGTTGAGTATGTGTCTCTGCCCAGTCCTGCCTTCCTCACCCTCTTATAGGTATTATTCCCAAGGTGACAAACCTCCCCTCACAAATCTCAGCCTCCAGGTAACTTGACAGGGATGAATCCACATTATATAAAACCCCAGAGTGATAACTAGATAAGAAAGTAGAAATGAACCACCTTAACCATCATCACTTCATTCATTTAGAATTAATCTTACTTTCATGATGTCCTTCTACGGCTTTGTAGGAGAAAAAAGACATAGTTATTACCCCCTAACCACCTCTCCATTTCCAACAAAGCATGGTTCCTCTTTTGGCGTTTGTTCCTTAAGTTTAGAGATTTTCTCTTAGATTTGAAAAAGCTGAGTTGCCTCGTCTATCTCTGATTTTAAACACTTGCCGCTTTTCGGTGCTTTCTCACAGTATATTTTGTAGTCATCACTGATCTTCTCTATGGCCATCTTTGGATTCTTGTAGCAGAGTTCCTCGAAGGACATTTTAGTTATGTCTGTGAAGTAAGGAAAAACAGAGATACAGTCTGGTTGTCCGAAGTCTATGTTCAAAGATTCATACACTTTTGTTGAAGGTATTGCCTTTAAAATGTTATTTAAAGAGGCTGAAAATGTTTAAATGGGATGCTTGCAGAAATAATACAAATTCTCGGTTTTGGGGTACATGTGAAGAACATGCAAGATTGTTGCATAGGTACACACATAGCAGTGTGATTTGCTGCCTTCCTCCCCATCACCTACATCTGGCATCTCTCCCCTTGCTGTCTCTCCCCAGCTCCCCACCCCACACCGTCCCTCCCCTATTTCCCCCCAACTGACCTAAAATGCAATAAAATAAATAAATGGGGGAAAAAAAAGAAATAATACAAATTCTCTAAGCTAAATTATAAACAAGGGAATAAGCCTCCTCTCCCTTCCAGAATAAGAAGATCCTCTCCTTCTCAGGGAAAACTGACCCATGGAGATTATTTGCCTGGGGGTAGCCAAGGTATAACTTGAAAGAGCTACTAATTTTTAATTTATGTTTGAAAAGTAACTCATACAAATGAATGGTGACTCCTTCAAAGCATCCATCTGTTGAGGGGTTGAGTAGAAATGTATTTGTTTTTTGTGTTTTTGCAGAGATGGGGTTTCGCCATGTTGCCCAGGATGGTCTTGAACTCCTAGGTTCTAGTGATACTCCTGCCTTGGCCTCCCAAATATCGGGATTAAAGACGTGACACCACACCTACAAATGCATTTCAAACATTCTACTATTGTCTCAAAAAAAAATTTGAAGAACCTAAGAATAGGAAATGGCAAAGAACATGCTATGCTATGTTCTCCCTTTCTCACCTCTGACTTTGGGAATAACTTTCAGAATTAACTACATATCTGAATATTATTAATAGTTGCAAATCATTGTCCTTTGGAGTGGATATTTTTTCCTAGAACCAAGCATATATCATCTTATGTTATGCATAATGAATTGAGAGGGAATACCTTTTTGTATCCAGAATGTGGTAAGACAACGAGGCTAAGATAGCAAGAGAAGTTTTAACAAAGATCTGGATAACAGAAGCAGAATAGTAGTACTTTACTTCCTACTGTGGAGAAATATGCATTTGGATGTGAGTTCTGGGATTTAGAGTATATCTAAATGCACAGAGTTCTCCTGGAACTCTCTAGGCAGTTCAGTACTTTCTGAAGCTATACTTTTTGAGTCTAGAAAGAGTACTGGGGTGTGGACCCATGAATGTGAGTTATTCTTATGTCATCATCATCATCATGTGTAATCAAGGGGAATTTGACCATAAGTGTTAAGAGCAGTGGATTGTTTCTGCAGTGGATCCAGGTTTCTGGTCCTGTATCAATTCCTTCCTTGCTGAGCAGCCTTGGGCAAGTCTTTTCACCTTTCTGGAAGTCATGTTTTCCTGTATAAAAGATGACAGTGGCCAGGTGTGGTGGCTCACTCCTGTAATCCCAGCACTTTGGGAAGCTGAGGTAGGAGGATCATTTGAGGTCAGGAGTTTGAGACCAGCCTGTCCAACATGGTGAAAACTCGTCTTTACCAAAATACAAAAATTAGTCAGGTGTTGTGGCAAGTGCATGTAATCCCAGCTACTCGGGAGGCTGAGGCAGGAGAATCGCTTGAACCCAGGAGGCTGAAGTTGTCGTGAGCAGACCATCATTGTACACCAGCCTGGGAAACAAGAGAAAGACTCATCTCAAAAAAGAAAGAGAGTATTCTAACTCTGCTACTCTGCGAGTTTAAGGTACAGCTGGAGACACCAGTCTACCTGGGATTCAGGGCCCTGACCTGACCAAATGCAAAGAAGGCTCTTTATTAGGCCAGACTTGTGCTCCCAAAAAGTAGTGATAGAGGAAGTAATGATTTGTGCTTTGGAGAGGGACAAGGAGCTTCTGTAAGGCGTGGTTCACATTCTTTCTAGCTATCCCTGGTACCCCATAGCCACCAAAGTAATGCCCATTTCCCAATATATGTGTGGTGAAATTTACCAGCCATCTTTTCTTCTACTTCTGTCTTGATTCCTGGGAAAGGATCTAAGATCCTCAGGTTTTAGAGAGGGTGGAATCTCTATGGGTAAAAAAGAGGGCCTATGCGTGCTAGATTTAAATAATTCATGCCCAAGCATGGCTCTGAAGGGCAAGTATCCAGGGCATCTTGATTTATATAGAGAGTGCATATTAAAGTTTTAAAAAAGAGCTGGATGTTACATTCTTTTGGCAATCTAACAAGTACCATTTACTTAGCACCTGCTTGTTACGTAACTATATTACCTCTAATCCTAAATAAATTAGGGGCCATTATCTCCACTGCATAGATGAAAAAATTAGGTTCAGAGAGATGGAGTAACTTGCCCAAGCTCACAGAACGTATGAATGGTACAACTGAATTTTCAAAGCTTTTGCTTACTCTTTACCTGTGTTTTTCAAAGTGTAGGTCATGGCTCATTAGTATACCAAAAAATAAATGGTGACATTGCTATCTTTTACACGACATGAAATAGGATAGAATAAAAAATGTTGGAGTACAACATCTTATGTAATAAGGGCAAGTATTCCTTTGGAAATTTTTGTTTCCATATATATGTGCACATGTATACATAAGTATATGTTTAAGGAATTATGAAGACAAATGTATTTATTGTGGATCAAAGTTTGAGAAATATGCAGTATTCCAACTGTCTCAATATAGATAATGAAAGCAATATGCTCAATTTGAATAATAATGACTAACATTTACAGTACTGAACTCCTGAGATCATTCATAGGTGATCTCAGGTCACCTGTACAAGTTTGTTATTCTTGTTTTACAGATGAGAAAACTGGGGCTTAAAGAGACGTTAAATACATTGCTCAAGTATACAAGTCAGTAGGACAGCAAGGGTGTAATCCCAGACTTCTGGGATTGCAAGGCCTTTTACTCCTAATGACATTTCTCCGCCACCTGGGTGGGCTGGTGTGTTACGTTAGGGAAGTGGGTAACTATAAAATATGTTCACAGAAATGCGCTTGGATCCTATTCTGGAGGAAATGTGGTGAGATGGAACATGCTTATCAGATGTATGAAATGAAGTATTCAGCATCAGCTGTGGTATTGCTTTAGTGAGCAAGAGTCTGGCTAAAGTTGAACGATCTGGGTCCCTCAGATCCAGCAAGGAGCGTTACAGTCTGTCTGCATTCAAATCCTGACTGCAACTTACTCTATGACCCTGGGGAGGTCACATTTTCTCTGTGCCTCAGTTACTTAGCACTTACCTCATAGGTTATTTTGATGATCAAATAAGGTAACCTCTGTATTGCGTAGTGCTGACACTTAGTAAATAACCCATAAACATTAAATATTATTTTCCAGTTGCCTATATGTAAAGGTCAAAAAAATTACAGTGACTGGGCTGACCTGTTAGAAACACCGGAGAAGTCAGCTCCACCTGGAGAGACCCTCCTCGTCTCAGGTCCTCCGTAGCTATCTTTCTCCACTGCGTAGCGTCCATTTCCTTCATGTCAGCCAAAGCCTGGCTTAACTCCAAAGACTGCTGAATCCTCTTATAAAGAAGAATGCTCTCTTCTTTGCCCATAAATTCTCTTTTATGCCGTCTGGAGCTGATGAACTTGTTCTGTGTCTAAGAGAAGAGGGTGAAGAGAAGACCACATCTGTTGCGGGAACTAGACCAGAAGCAATGGTTCTGTAGGATCTCAGTGCTCCACGTCTCCCTGTCACAGGGTCTTAGCAGGTTGATTTCCATTGTTAAGCACGATTGCTCCTTTAGACGCCAACCCCCACCCTCTCCTAATCAAACTCATTTTCTATAAGGGAGAAATTTTCTATGATTGTGACTTTTTCAAAGTCATCTTATGCACCGAGTCCTTTTCCTTGAAAGGTTTAGCTTTAGAACAACAGGGACCATGCCAATCTTTGGTTGACTCTAGGAAAAAGAACAATTTCATTTACTTTAATACATAAGCCTTTTAAAACAGCAATTACTCTTTCTTCTTCCCTCATCCTCATGATTCCTTCCCAACCCAAAGTCCTTCCTACTGTAAAAATGAGAAACCAGTAGTCCTCTTCATCCAGGAATTCATCATACCAGGGACTGAGCATCTGAAAGCCAAACACAGCAATACGCATTATGAGGTGGATGATCAGCTTGCCACATCTCTCCTGCTTATGTTCACCTAGGAGTAGAGGAGGCTGAAGATTCTGGGTTCTGTAATCTGGAGATCTAATGGAACAGCAAACATTAGCTATGACCAACTAGGAGGCGTTCCTTTCTCTCTGAATAGAGCAGCTACCACAGCTTTTCTCTAAGTCTCAGAGTACTAAATATTTATGTAAGAAGAGAGATGATAAATTACAGAACCACTACTTAACATCTGCATATTATTTCATTCTTTTCCAAAGTAATAGCTCATTTTTTCTCAAAATGGCCCTGAAAACCAAGCATTTCTCTTTGGTGTATCTACTCATATCTCCCACTTGAAGACCTTACCCTTTGGTGAAGAACATTTTATTACATTAAAGCAAGCACACACACACAAGAACAAAACCTATGAGTTAGTGCTTAGCTAGATATATTAATCCATACTCTTAGTTTCATTCATTCATTCTTTCATGTGACAAATGCTTTATGAGTGCCTCCTATGTGTCAGGCACTTTACGAATTGCTGGCAATATTGAGATCAGCAAGCTGCAAGTGTTGTTACAAGGAGCTCAACTTCCAGCATGAACAGCAACCTAACACATGCTCTCACAGAGGTATTAACAAAGCTTCTGATTCAGTCAGGGAAATCCAGGAAGAATTCATAAAGGTAAAGAGGTTTACTCTAATGTGCACCTTGCAGGGTAAGTAGGAACTCCCCACAGGGAAGTTGAGTAAAGATCAGCCCGGCCAGTAGAAAGAGCTTAAGCAAAGGCATGGAGATGGGGAAGAAGATGTTTGGGAATGATGAGACTCCAGTGTGGGCTGAAATGTAGCATTCATGTGAAGAGCTCAGGAATGGGGAAGTGGCAGGAGAGGAAGCAAGGAAGCACTGGAATTATATATGAGGGACTTGAATGCCTTGCTGAGTAATCTGGGGATTATTTTGTAGGCAATGAATTGATGGTAATTTTTAAGAATGTAAGATTATCTCTGCCAACTGCCTCAATCATGCAGCCAAAAGGTGAGTTTAGGGATATAAATTTTAGTAGTTTTTAACAAATCTCCTTGGCTCCTGGGAAACTTGAGTGAAGTATATTCCTGAGACAATTCAGTTCAATGATTGAATCCGAACAATATGTAATATAATGTTACTCATTAACAAATAAACTGTAAATATATATTAAATATGAGTAATAAGCATATGTGAAATGAATACCCTATTAACATCCCTTTTAGTTTAAAAGATTTATGAGTCAGGCCAGGTGCCGTGGCTATTCTCCATTTCATGTATTTCTTCTCTAATCTTTATCCTCTTTTTCCTTCTGATAAGTTTCGGTTTACTTCTCTTTTTCTGGTTCTGTAAGGTGTAAAGTTAGATGGTTTATTTGGTATCTTTCTTTTTAAGATAGGACTGATTGCTATAAGTATCCAACTTAGTACTGCTTTTGCTGCATCCCATAAGTTTTGGTATGTTGTTTTTATTTTCATTGATCTGAAGTATTTTTGAATGCCCTTTTTGATTTTTTTGAGCCGTTAGTTGTTTCAAAACGTGCTGTTTAATTCTATGTTTTTGTAAATGTTCCCATTTTCTATTCGTGATTTCTAGTTTCATTCCATTGTACTTGATTAAAAAGTATTTGTAGTATTGTTTCATTTTATTATTTTAGAGACAGGGTCTCATTCTTTCACCCAGGCTGGGGTGAAGGGGTGTGATCACAGGTCACTGTAACCTTGAACTCCTGGACTTAAGTGATCCTCCCACCTCAACCTCCCAAGCAGTTAGGACTACAAACCTGTGCCACCACATCTGGCTACAGAATGTTTTTAATCTTAAATTTGTTAAGACCTTTTTGTGACCTAGCATATGATCTATTCCGGAGAATATTCATGTCCACATGAGAAGAGTAATTATTCTGTTGCTGTTGAGTAGAAAGTTCTGTATATGACTGTTAGGTCAGTGATTTATGAGGTTGTTCAGTTCTGCTGTTTCTTTGTTCATTTTCTGTCTCTGTAATGTATCCATTATGAAGAGTGGGGTGTTGAAGTCTTCTATTAAAGCAACACAATAATAATAGAAGATTAAGTTCTTCCTTCAGATCTGTCAATGTTTGCTTTATATATTTAGATGATGATGTTGGATGCATACGTATTTATAACTGCTACATCTTCCTATTAAATCGACCCTTTGTCTTTATAAAATAACCTCCATTGGCTTTCGTGACAGCTTTTGACTTAAATTCTATCGTATCTGATCTGGTATAGCCACATATGCTTTTTTTGGGTTACCACTGCCATAAAATATCTTTCTTCAACCTTTCACTTTCAGCCTATCTGTGCTCTTAAATCTATCATGAGTCTCTTGTATTGTTGGGTCTTGTGTTTCTATACATTTATCTACTCAATGGCTTTTCACTGGGGAGTTAAAACAGCTTACACTTACAGTAATTATTGTTAGGTAGGCTTACTGTTGCCATTTTGTAAATTGTTTTCTGTCTGTTACGTAGTTATCTTCTTCCCCCTCTTTCTCTATTGCTGTCCTTCCTTTGTGATTTATTTATTTATTTATTTTTGTAGTGATATGCTTTATTTTCTTTTTATCTTTTAGGTATCTACTGTACATTTTTTGTGGTTACCATGAACCTCGCATTAAACATTTTATAGTCATAAATCTGTTTTAAGCTGACAACAACTTCAATTGCTTTAAGCTGATAACTTCAATTGCATACAAAATTCTACACTTTTCTCCCTACTTGCTACAGTTTACATAATTGATGTCTTGATGTCAGCTTTTACTTTTTTATATAGTTTGTTTTCATTAACTAATTTCTGTGATTATAATTATTCTTACAACTTTGTCTTAATACTAGTGTTAAAAGTGATTTATATGTCTTCATTATATGACAATACTATGTGTTTGTCACTATATCTACCTTTAGCAGTGATATTTATACTTTCATATTTTTTTTTGTTATTTAGCACCTTTTAATTTCACCTCATTCGTGAAGTTCCTTTAGTACTTTTTGTAAGGCAGTATTTTTTGTAGTGGTGACAAACAGATTTTGTTTGGGAAAGTTTTTTTTTTTTTTTTACTTCTTCACTCTCAAAGGATAATTTCTCTGGGTAAAGAATTCTTAATTGGCAGTTTTCCTTTTCTTTCTTTCAGCATATTGAATATATCATCCCACTGTCTTCCAGACTGTAAGGTTTCTGCTGAGGAATCTGCTGATAGTCTTTTCAAGGCTCCCTTGTGTATTAAAAGTCACTTTTCCCTTGCATCTTTCAAAATTCTTTGTCTTTGACTTTTAATAATTTATTTCTAATCTGTCTGAGTCTGAAACTCTTTAGGTTCAGCCTATTTGGAGATCTTTGAGTTTCAGAAATCTAGGTGTCCACTTCCCTCAGATTTGTGAATTTTCTAGACATTATTTCTTTAAATAAACTTTCTACCCCTTTATCTCTCTCTTCTCCTTCTGAGATGTCTATGTGTATATTGGTTCACCTGATGGGGTCCCATAAGTCCTATAGGCTTTCTTTGGTGTTTTTTAATCTTTTTATTTCTCAAATGACCTGTCTTTGAGTTCATTTCTTTCTTCGTCTTAAAACATAAATCTGTTTTAAGCTGATAACAACTTCAGTTGCTTTAAGCCTTTGAGGCCTAATCAAGTCTGCTGTTGAAGCACTTTATCAAATTTTTTTTCAGTTTAGCCATTATATTTGTCAGCTTCAGGATTTCTGTTCGGCTCTTTTATTTTTTATTAAACTTCTAGTTTTATTGATGCATTTTTTTCTGATCTTGTTCAGTTGTTTATCTGTGTTTTCATATCACTTATTGAGCTTCTCTAAGATGATTATTTTGGCTGGGCATGGTGGCTCACTCCTGTAATACCAGCACTTTGGGAAGACAAGGTGGGATAATATAGCTTAAGGCCAGGAGTTTGAGGCTGCAGTAAGCTATGGTCATGCCACTGCATTCCAGCCTGGGTGACAGAGTAAGACCTTGTCTCTTAAAAAAGAGGATTATTTTGTTGAACAGTTTGGAAATCCTTTATAAAAAGAAAAAGCAAAAACATTTTTAAAAACATGTTATTTTGAATTATTTGGCCAAGCAGTTTATGAACCTCCATTTCTTCAGGGTCAGATAGTGAAATGTTATTAATTTCCTTTGCTGATATTACATGTGCCTGATTTTTCATGACCCTTGTATCCTTGCATTGGTGTGTGTACACTTGAAGGAACAGTCACCTCTTCCAGTCTTCACAGGTTGGTTTTGGCACACACATAAAGGCCTTTGCCAATTAGCCAGTCAGAGATTCTGGGCTGGTTAGCTGGTGATGTTTATAAGCAAGCCTATTGTTGGGTTCCATGAGTAGGATCATTGTGTCTATGGGTGGGCAGAGCTGGAGCTGTACCTGTAGGCAGATGGAGCTAGAGCCTGGTTCAAAGGCTATGGAGCTGCCTCAAGGTCTGCAGGTGGTTTGGGTTACAGCTGAGTCCACAGGCAGTCAGGGATAAAGCTGGGGCTGCTAGCAGTGTGAAAAACCCATTGAATGTGGCTGTCTCTAGGTCTGTGGGTGGACAGGGCTTCCTCAGAGTCTGTCATCAGGTCTGGGGTCAGCAGACCTGTTATCAGGGTGTGGTTCCTGCTGGATCTCTGGGCAGGCATTTCCTCTGTGACTGGGGTTGAGCAATGTGGAGGTGGGTCACAGGGATGCTTCCATGTCAAATGAGACCCAAAGGCATTAGGCCTGTTAACAAGGTTTTAGGCAGGCACAGTTTCTACTAGGACCATAGGAGGGTAGGTCTGGTGGCAAAATTATGGACAAATGATTCTGGAGCTGAGTCCACAGGAGATGAGGCTGGTGATCCTGATTGACAAGTCTGCTACTGGAGGCACGAGACTGCCTTTTCAAAGCAGCTTTCCTTGATCTTGAACTCCGCTGGGGTGGTGCAGCCTCCAACTTGGGTCTCAAAGCTCATCAAAAGGCACTTTTGTCTGTGGATAGTTGGCAAGTCCATGTTTCTATGGGTGAACAAAAGCTGGGGACCTCCTATTTCACCATATTGCTGATGTCACTCTAAGTATGGATGTATTTGGTGATATGTGCTAAGGAGAAAAATAAAATTGGAGTGTGCTTGAAATTTTATATCAAATGACCAAGGAAGTCCTCACTGAAAAGGCGACTCTTTAATGGAGACCTGAGGGAGTGAGAGACTAAGCCGTGCAGATATCCATATGCTACAGAGTACAGCCAAGCTGGCAGTGTGCCTGGCATAGTGGGTGATGAGCATGGGGTAGGGGTGGAATAGTAGATGAAGCCAGAGAGGAGAGGTGGAATGCATATCATGTACGGCTTTGCTAAATTTATTAGGGACTTTGGATTTTACTGAGAGGAAAATTGCTTCATTGAGACAGCCATCTGTTTTCATGGTCCTCACTCATTTCCTGTTAAATTACACTACGTTTTGACAGAATCACTGTGGTTGGTATGGAAATGAGTTGATGAGGGGCAGGGTAGACACAGAGGCATCAGTTAGAAGACCATTGCAATATTACAGGTAAGAGGACAGGGGGTGGGTGGGAGTGGTTGTAACAAGGGTAGAAAAGAGTGGTCACTCTGGATTTCTTAAGGTAGTGCCAACAGGGTTTGCCAACAGACTAGACATGGGTGTGAGAGAAACAGGTGAGTCAAGAATGATATAAAAATGTTTAGTCTGAGTAACTGTTACAGGCCAGTCTTCCCTATGTACAAATATCTTCAGTATCTTTCCACCAAGCCCCAGGCAAAAGTATTTGCTGTGAGATTCTGCTGATCCAAGAAGCACAATCCCTGTCTGAATCTCTGTCCTAAAATGCCTCCACAAAATGCAAAGACCTCTGGGCTTTAATTAATCAAAACTTGAGCAAAGGAGCACTTGGGCTGTGGATCCAGTAGACTGATCTATTTTGAAACCACCGTACAACTCTGGATAATTATGAGATACTGGAAATCATGCTAGACTTAGGGCCAAAAACTCCAGGATTCTGATCCTGGATTATCCACTAGCTAGCTACATGGCTTTGGGATAATTCACTTACTCTCTGTGTGACTCACTTCCCCCATCTGTACTAGAGAAGCAACAATGCTACTCTGTTTGCTTCTTGGGAGTGCTAAGAAGCGTAAAGGAGACAATGTGTGCGAATGTGCTTTACAAGGTAAATACGTTATAATGCACTAAATAATCTGATGCTTTTATCCATTTGCTCCTCCAGATCTACTCTCTACTCTTCTTTGCCGTTTGTGCCTTAGAAGATTAACCTGTATGAGCCACATCAATCAGTTCCCTTGTCCTCTGTTTGGGTTCATCAGATGAGGTGTCCTGGCAGGAGATGAGAAAGCAGGAGCAGAGTAACCTTGGGGTATCTATTTCTCTAATGCCTCCAAACTAGATCACTGTGAATTAGTTACATCCCTCAACTGATGATTACAGCTTCTGCCAAGCAACTGTCCCACTCCATACAGCTCTTTCTCTCCTGGTTCTAGTAATTGCTTCCTGTCCTCAATTCTTCATACCTAGGAATGATAAAGGAGCCCTGCCCTTACTGACCTTGTGCTGTTACACTAGCCCTGTGGTTTCCCTACTGCACCACCCATTCCTTTGTGAGTAGTCCCTCTTATTTTTCTCTCATCTGTTACCTAACTTGACTTTGCCATTTGCCTTCTGCTAAGAACTTGATGATACAATAGCTACGTGATGGGCTTCCCTTCCTGTGAGTCTTCAGAATATTCCCTTGCTTTTATCTAACGTTTTGAGATGAAAATAAATTCATCCTAACTGAACATTTCCTTGATGGCTGGTCTAGTAAAGGGAGCTTGCTTTTCAATACATAATGTTCATAATAGAAATTAAAAACTTTCCTCATGGAACACTCTGAGGTTCATGGTTTGCGGAGGCTTTGTATAAAAGGAAGGTGAAGAAGGAATGGATATCAACCACTCCCCACCTCCATTCTACTTTAGAGTTTTTGGCTGATTTGGGGGAAGTTGCAAAATTTGTGCCTTAAGACAGTGGTCCCCAACCTTTTGGCACCAGGGACCAGTTTCGGGAAGACAACTTTTCCATGAACTGGGGGCTGGGACGACGGTTTCGGGATGCAACTGTTCCACCTCACATAATCAGGCATTAGATTCTCACAAGAAGCATGCAACCCAGAGCCCTTACACGCACAGTTCATAATACTGTTTGTGCTCAAATGCTACCACTGATCTGACAGAAGATGGAGCTCAGGCAGTAATGCTTGCTCACCCGCTGCTCACCTTCTGCTGTGCGGCCCAGTATCCTAACAGGCTAGGGGCTGTACAGATCTGCGGCCCAGGGCCTGGGGATCCCTGCCTTAAGAGATCAACCAACTCTTCAGTATATGAGGGTTTACGTGGGTAATTATAGAATTAACTTATTATAGATGACCAGATGGAATTTTTAGTCAGTTTTGACCTAACTTGCCAGATACTAACTCATTTCTGTGAGGCAAGACCTACCTTGCAAATCTCCTTCTGGGCTTTGGAAATCCAGGGAATCACATCTCCAGAAGGCAAGAGTTCCTTCAGGCCCTGCATGGTTTGGGATTTGAGTGGTAAGCGTGGACCAATCTGTTCATTCAGGTGGAGCTCGCAGATTCTGTCACCCAGCAAGTGACGAAAGATTGTATTCCCATTCTTCTTGTTATTCAAAAGGACACTGAGGAAATGGTGCAGGTCCTGCCAGAGGTCAAGAAGTTGGGTCTCCACTTTCAAATTCAGCTTCTTCAGGTGGTCCCGGAAAGGGTTCCCTGCACAGGCATCAGCACACAAGGCCAAGTGGGTGTATCCTAAGGAGAAGCCTTGCTTGATGGCCTTCTGAATCGTCATCTTGAAGGAGGGGTTGACGATGGGGGTGACAGTCCTCAGGTGGGTAGAGACCTTTGTCTCAAAGAGACCCTCCATGTGAAGGTGGCTGTTGGCTTTATCCTTCATGCTGGGTGTTTTTGCGTAATGCATATCCTTTTCCAGGGAACTGATTCTTGTTTCCTTTGAAGAAGACATTTTCAGGGAAGGCATTTGTATAATCACCTTCTCTTGAGAACGTGTCTCCTGTAGGGGCATACTGATAGTATCTGGCTTGATGTCCATTTCCAGAGACCAAGAGTCAGGATCTACCAATTGCCACATCTTCCTCTTGGCTTTCCTGCATGAGTACTGTTTCTGAAAGTGGTGGCACTTCTTGATGCTCATGTTCAGAGGAGGCCCTCCTACGTGAGTGTAGCAAACGCTGTATAATTGAGTCTCATACTCCTGCATCAGACCATGGCATGCTTCCTCCTTGGCCATAGTCATCTTGGTGTGGGTGTAAAAGTTAGGAAGCCAGTAGCTCTGGAGTTTGAACAGAGCCACTTTCTGCATGTGGCTTAGGATCTCCCTCCTAGTGGTTGACTGATTGGGATGCCAGATGGAGAGGTTCAGGAGGGACTCTGGAAATAATACAGAAACATGATGGGTGAAAATGATGTGATGACGGCAGTGAAGATGATGTTGGAGAGGTTTTCAAATGTCTTTGTGTAGAGCATTTCATTAGTTCCTCACACAACCCTGGAGTATGAATAGTTAAAATACATAGTCGGCGCATTTTTATGGTTTTCTCAGCACACAGTGATCCCTTTATCTTCTTTCCCAAGCCATGTTATGGGATTACTTTTTAGACGATTAAATGTTATTTTAAAGAAAAGCAAAAGTGCAAGAAAAATGTTTAAGAATAAGAGACGTCTACATCTGAACAGGATTTTTGATGAACAATTTAGGACTGGATAAGTAGCGCTAGCCCTGATTTTAATGCCATCAATTCTCAGTCATCTACCGGAATAGAGAGGAGTGTGACTAATCCCAAACAGCACATCTTTTGGAACACATTTGTATTTGAGTTAGGAATGCCTCCTCTTTTAATCAACAAACAAATATAAATAAATCTTGCATTCTAGAGAAGAAGTTGGCAAACTTTTTATGTAAAGGGCCAGATGGTAAATATTTTGGCTTTGTAAACCACGTAACATATCCTTCTTTTTTTTAAAGCCCTGTGAAAATGTAAAGACAATCTTAGCTCACAGGCCACATACACTTCATTTGGCCAGTGGGCTGCAGTTTCTTCCAGAGAATCCCAATTAAAAAAATAAAATTACAAAAGTATGTAGGCTCAAATGTTACAGGTGCTTTTCAAGTATCCCGCCCCAGTTCCTCCTCCCTCCCTTCCAGCCAGCCTTCATTGGTGGGTTTGAAAGAGGCAAGTACCAGCTTAAGGACAACTGGTGTCTTTCAATACTTTCCTGGTTAAGGGCTGGGGTTACCACTAACATCTCTGATACATAGAAGATGGAGAGAGGGTGGGGTTTCCTGCAAAGAAGGAGGCTAAGAATTCTCAGACACTGGATTTCTTTTTTTGTTGCATTCCCCAAGAATATGCTTTATAATTCTTACTGATGTTCATGTTGCAGAGGGTTACTACCCTGGACCCCTCTTGCAGATGAGTGGCCCTCAGCATGAGGAGGAGGGACAGGTAGTGGTCTCTCACTTCCAGGTCCATCTCATTTATGCTCAGGATCTTCTCAGCAAGAATCCAGAAATCCACCAGTTCTTCACCTACAGACGAGACAGAAGAGGCACAGAGCTGTACTCTGGTTTTGCCTCTTTGGTGGTTGCATCTGGGTAAATCAGCTGACATCCCCCGCTTGCCTGTTCCACTGCATTGATCATCATTCCTGGTAATTGGTTCAAGGTATCATCTCCAGAAAAGTTCTACTGTGGGAGGCATGGGAGAAGGGACTTCATGCACGGGAATCCTTTGGTTTTTTGTTGCTGGCGTTAGAAGAACCATTGCTAGGGAAAACTGCAAGACTCTGGGGGTGGATTATGAAATATTTAAATTTTGTCCAAAAAAAATGAAGATTGGGGAGAAAAACAGTTTCTAGATCATGAACTGAGAGTGGCCTGCAGAAAGACACTGGGGCCAAAAGATGCCAAAGACGACATTCCCTTTTTTGGACACTTTTCCAGGGCCAAACTCTGAGTGACAAAATGAAAGATGTAATCCATTTAGTTCTTCCCTACCTGCTCCCTGGACATCCAGGAGTTCACCCTTAAAACTAGGGCTTAGGTCTGGAAGAAACTTAATGTTGTTGAGCCGGAGTGTCAGCCAGGACCAGCTGCCAGCCTCCCAGCACCCAGCACCCAGCAATTCGCCAGACCCAACAGAACAGGAGGCAGTGTTTCCCAACACTGCCACTATGGGGATTTGTTTACTTGTTCCTGGTCTGTCTCCCCCGCAAAGCGGCAGCTTTGTAGAAGGAGGGACTTATGGCTCTTGTCCACCCTTGTAACCCAACCTACCAGCACAGGGGCTGCCACAGAGCGGTGCTTAATGATACTGTTAAATAAATGAATGAATAAATGAGTAGAAGGGATTTTGATTGCTTTTCCATTAACCTATACTATAGACCTCAGTTTTCAAAGATTATTATCCAAACCACATTATTGAACATTTTTATATTCACCATAACTGGGGCTTAGGGCAACCTGCAAACCATTAGGAACTTGAAAACGCCCCAGGAACAACCCTGAGAACCCACCTGCACTGCCTGTGAGGTAGGAGCAGAAGCGCCACATCCCTCTGACCCCGCCAATGCATTTCTGGAGTAGCCACTGGTCTGCCTTTTTCCATCTCATCATCTTGGCTGCCAGGAAAAGTTCACCATAAGAGAGAGAATGAACCCTTACCCTAGCCCCTCTCCCAGCCAGACCCTCATTTGTTTAGTGTGGTGAGGACAAATTGTGACCACTTAAGTGGCTAGGGTCCAGATCATGTGCTTCTGAAGCTAGGCACCAGACCATTTGGTAACATGTGTTAAGGCTCATGGCAGGGACCCACAAGCATCATGCAATTCACAGCTTAAAAACACCCTCCAACCAGCACCAGCACCAATTACATTTTAAGAGGCTCACTCTGGCTTCTATGAGCAAGACAGCAAGAGCAAAAGCAAGGAGACTAATGAAGAGATGATTTTATTAACTAGGTGAGAAATTATGGTGGCTTAAAGCAGATGGTGGTAATGAAGTTGGTGAAATCTGTTTGAGTCTAGATTAGGCAATTTTACTATGTTCTGCAGCCACCGTTAAGTTTCTCATTTCTGGCTACAGTGAGATAAACGACCCAGTCCATCTGATTCCTGCATATTTCTCTAGATGCCAATTTTTCAGGCTAAGGTTTTATCTATTGCCATACCATGCGCTGGGCTATGCACATATCTATAAATTCAGCCAATATTTGTATCTTGCTATAGTACTGACAGGCGTAAGATTATTATGAAGTGTGACTTCCTATATTTCTCCACACATACACAAACAGACATGCATACCAATACTTACCTCCTTCTGGGGACTTAATGAAACTGATGAGCTCCTGACAGAGAATGTAATGGAAACACAAGTTTGTTTTACAGAAGAAAGGTAATCGGTATTTTTCCAACCAGGTCAATAATCCTTTGTATTTGGCAATCTAGAGTCAATGCAAAATAGAAACAAAAAAACTAAATGAAACTGAACTGCTAAGAAATACAACTTAGTAAGGGGCAGCTAATCACCTCACACTTGCAATGTCTAGCCAAAGGAGAGGTGTGTTGATTAAAAATAACATCTATAAACCTGAAACCTGGACTTAAAAAAAGAAGTATCAAAGAGGAGCAGAGGCTTGCAAAGAAGTAAATGGATCAGTAGAAAATAAAACAGTGATCTTTCACGAAAAAAATTCTTTCTTATTCCTGAAGTTGTTAAAGAAAAAAATCTAAGTCTTGTTTGACAGAAGAAAAGCAGAAAATATTTGTGTCTGTGGTGTCAGATCATAACTCTATTCACCTTGCTTCTTTGTAAACACACTCATAATTTCTAACAAGCTCCTACCCCTATCAATTGTACAACATGTACAAAAACAGCTTCACACATAGCATCATTTAGAATATGGGATGGATTCCTGAGGGATCAAGCCACAGAGAAAGGAGAATTTTTTTTCAGCTTTCAGGGTTATCCTTGGGAAATTAAATATAAGAATTAGCACAGAAGGCCAGAATAGAAGGCCCGCCACCACTCACACCTGTAATCCCAGCACTTTGGGAGGCCAAGGCGGGTGGATCACCTAAGGTCAGTAGTTTGAGACCAGCCTGACCAGCATAGAGAAACCCCGTCTCTACTAAAAATACAAAAAATTAGCTGGGTGTGGCGGTGCATGCCTGTAATCCCAGCTACTTGGGAGGCTGAGGCAGGAGAATCACTTGAACCTGGGAGGCGGAGGTTGTGGTGAGCCAAGATCGTGCCATTGCACTGCAGCCTGGGCAACAAAAGCAAAACTACATCTCAAAAAAAAAAAAAAAAAAAGTCAGAGTAGAATGTCTCTTCTCAGCTCTCCAGAACTCAGAGAGAACAAAACCTTATTGTTATCAGGCTTAGAGTGGTCTTTCTGATCCTATATGCCCCCTTGTAGGGCACGTGGAAGCCTTTGGTAACTCTAAGGTCTACGTAGTAGAAAAGGAGAACAGGAGTGGGGAAGAGAGAAAAATAAGAAACAGGAAAAAAGGCATAAAGAGAAGAAGTTGGGAGAAAAACATGCCTCTGGAGAAGAATAGTTGAGTAGTCATTAGACATTGCAGAAAAGCATCTTATCTTGATCTATATCTGATAATGCATACAGATAATAATTATGTGGCCCGTGGGCTGCCCCTTCCCACCCCACACCCCCTACAGACATTGCCAGTCACTTCCCAGAGTCTTTCTTGCTTAGATGTGCCCTGTTCTTCTCAGCACAGTGACCCAGGTGTCTAACCTATCACAGTAGGTGTGAGAATCCCATTTGCTAACTATGGACTGTGGAAAGAATTCACCAGCAATTACTTGCACAAGAGGTGAAAAATGTAAAAAGGAGGAATATCTACCTGGATTGATGCTGTTTGTTCTACTTCTCTGCTTTACAGTCTCTCCTGTAGTTATTCTGTGTGCCTCATCTTTTTCTCCCTCTCCCAATTCACATTTTGAATAGTTCCCTCATGCCTGGCACCATGGCTCCTGCCTGTAATTCCAGCAATTTGGGAGGCTGAGGTGGGTGAATTACTTGAGCTCAGTAACTTGAGATCAGCCTGGGAAACACAGTGAAACTCCATCTCTACCAAAAATACAAAAATTCGCTGGGTATGGTGGCGGGTGCCTGTGTGGTCCCAGCTACTTGGGAGGCTAAGGTGGGAGGATTGCTTGAGCCAGGGAAGCAAAGGTTGCAGTGAGCCAAGATCACACCATTGCACTGCAGCCTAGGTGACAGTGAGACCCCATCTCAAAAACAAACACAAATTAACAACAAAAACAAATATAGCTTCCTCATCCAAACTCTCTACTTCTGAAGAATTTTACTTACCAAGTTACAAGGTATTTCTGGCCACAAGCTCCACTGTGAATTTTCAACAGTATAAAATGGTGTCTGACCAAAAACCTGCAAAAGAAAGCTAGGAAACGTCAAGAGAGTAGAGATTGTCTTCATGTGTATGACACAGCCCATCTGCAGCCACAGGGGAAGAGAGGTTCCACCGCTCTTTTATTTCAAGGAACATTAATTCTTAAATTTATTCCGCCGTATCAACTTGCCCTGCACACAGGTGCAAAAGCCTTTTTTTTTTTTTTTTTTTTTTGAGACGGAGTTTCGCTCTTGTTACCCAGGCTGGAGTGCAATGGTGCGATCTCGGCTCACCGCAACCTCTGCCTCCCGGGTTCAGGCAATTCTCCTGCCTCAGCCTCCTGAGTAGCTGGGATTACAGGCACGCACCACCATGCCCAGCTAATTTTTTGTATTTTTAGTAGAGACGGGGTTTCACCATGTTGACCAGGATGGTCTTGATCTCTTGACCTCATGATCCACCCGCCTCGGCCTCCCAAAGTGCTGGGATTACAGGCTTGAGCCACCGCGCCCAGCCCGCAAAAGCCTTAAACAGACTGAACTGCAAGATTCATTTATCTTTTGACTCCACCATGCCCCAGCCTGGGAGCTATCTTTCTTGTGGAGCCTGAGCCGACCTGAGAGCTATTTGCTTGTGTGCAAAGGCCAAGGCCCATGTTATTAGAACGTATTTACTTTGTGTATTCAGTATTCATTTTTCTCCCTGGACTTAGAGAGTTAAAGCAAATGTCTAAAATGTTTTCCCAGTGAAAAATAGCTTTGGATTTACCCAAACTGGAGAAGACAGACAGGGCTATACATATGGAGATTAGGGGTACAAATTCCACACGGAAGCATTGAGAGTGTCCAGAATTGATATGTAATTCTAGGATGGCATCCCCTTTTGTCATGGAAAAGAGACGGTCATCTAGGCAACCAGCATTGAAACGGATGGGAAAGGACTTCCATGTTTATAGGTATGTAAACTTAAGCAGTTTCACCATGGGCAACAAAATGTCTTCAAAGTGTCCCAGAAGTATTTGCAGAAAACTTCTGGGGCTGCAGCTCCGATTCCTGGCTGAACTCTCAGCCCATCATGTCAGTCTGACCATCTCCCCAAGATGAACAGCCCCACACTGTTGTTAGTCTATGGCCCTCTTCCCTTGATCCCATTTGTCCCTTGCCCTCAGCTGTGAGGTGTTGAAGGAAGGTGATGGTGCTGCCTGCATCTTACAATTATAAGTTTCTAAAGGAGATTCAGTCCTTAGGGATCTCTCTCTGCTCTGCACTCAGTGTGTAAGTAACACAACATGCCCTGACTGGTGTGGTAAGCTACCTTTAAGGAGTGGTGATAGGACTGTGAAGTTGTGCGATTATGTGGGAGTGGTGTTCGGAAGCAGTTTCACTACCCGACATTGCACTATAGAGGGCACAGGTTAATGTGGAAAACACATCAGGCCTGGAGCCAGCAGACCTGGTCAGCTCCTAGAACTGCCCCAGATTCACTGTGTAATCTTAGGCAAATCATTTAACTTTTTTTTTTTTTGAGAAGGAGTCTCGCTCTGTTGTCCAGGCTGGAGTGCAATGGTGCCAACTCAGCTCACTGCAACCTTCACCTCCCAGGTTGAAGCAATTCTCCTGCCTCAGCCTCCTGAGTAGCTGGGATTACAGGTACATGCTGCCCTGCCTGGCTAATTTTTTGTATTTTTAGTAGAGATGGGGTTTCACCACGTTTCCCAGGCTGGTCTCGAACTCGAGCTCAGGCAATCCATCCACCTCAGCCTCCCAAAGTGCTAGAATTACTGATGTGAACCACCACTCCCAGCCTAACACTTTTTTTATTTTTTTTTTTTTGAGATGGAGTCTCACTCTGTCACCTGGGCTGGAGTGTAGGAACACAATCGCAGCTTACTGCAACCTCCGCCTCTCACGTTCAAGCAATTCTCCTGCCTCAGCCTCCCCAGTAGCTGGGATTACAGGTGCACGCCACTGCACCCGGCTAATTTTTTTTTTTTTTTTTGAGACGGAGCCTCACTCTTGTTACCCAGGCTGGAGTGCAATGGCGCGATCTCGGCTCACCACAACCTCCGTCTCCTGGGTTCAGGCAATTCTCCTGCCTCAGCCTCCTGAGTAGCTGGGATTACAGGCACGTGCCACCATGCCCAGCTAATTTTTTGTATTTTTAGTGGAGACGGGTTTCACCATGTTGGCCAGGTTGGGCTCAAATTCTTGACCTCAATTGATCTGCCTGCCTCTACCTCCCAAAGTGCTGGGATTACAGCAAATCATTTAACTTCGGAGATCCATTGGTAAAAAGGGAATACTTCCTACCTCACATGGTGACTATGGGAATTAAGTGGTAGAAATTTGTAAACTTAAGGAGTATTCAACATGAACTACTACTGCTGTCTCTCTTTATAGACCACAGCTGCCTAAGTGGCCAGAGCTTTCTTATAATCTTGGCTGGAACACCCCTCTCCACATCACTCTCTGTTTCTAGGACATTACCGTGAGCTGTTTTAATTGTGTTGGTGCATTGACTGATTAATGTGTCTTAAGATTACTTTTCGGCCAGGTGTGGTGGTTCATGCCTGTAATCCCAGTCCTTTGGAAGGCCGAGGTGGGTGGATCACCTGAGGTTAGGAGTTTGAGACCAGCCTGGCCAACATGGTGAAACCCTGTCTCTACTAAAAACACAAAAATAGCTGGCGCTGTGGTGCACACCTGTAGTCCCAGCTACTTGGGAGGCTGAGGCAGAATTGCTTGAGCCTGGGAGATGGAGATTGCAGTGAGCCGAGATTGCGTCACTGCACTCCAGTCTGGGCAACAAGAGTGAAACTCTGTCTCAAAAAAAAAAAAGATTACTTCTGAAACCTTCATATTAAGACAGTGGCAGAGACAACAGTGAGAGTGATAAATACATAAAGACCCACTCTGAGAGAGGCCTCTTCCTTATCCCGGTTTTAATCCTGTTGCCTGGCACTACCATCCATCCACGCACCCAAGCCTGTTACCCTTGCTTCCTTCCTTCCTGTTACTCTTCGCCCAACATTTATAGTGACACGGTCCTATATTTTGTTTTGTTAACAATCTCCTCTATGTATCCCATCCTCCTCTCCCCTTTCCCCTTTGACCCTCATTGCTTCCCACTAGATGACTGAAACAACCTCATAACTGCTTTCCCTTCCTCCATTAAGGTCTCCTGCCCACCCATTGGCCAAACCTCTGCAGGACAGTTTTCCCAAATGAAAGCCTGAAGATGTTATTCCTTTACTTCAAATCCTTCGATGGCTCTCTCGTGCCTTAAGGTAATGTCCAAACTCCTCGGTATGGCTTGCCCGATCTGCAGGGCTTGGTGCGGGCTGCCCATGCAGCTTATCTCTTGTGGCATCTCACCCTCACAACCGTTCATCAGCCTTCCTGAGTTACTTACAATCTCCCCCAAAGCATCAAAGGATTGTATTCTTTGGTGCCTTTACTTTCCCTATTCTGTGTAAGGCTTTTCTTGCTGCTCACTCCCTAGTCTTTTGTTTCCTCCTATTTTTATTCTTTTTTTTAAATTTGAGATGGAGTCTTGCTCTATGGCTCAGGCTGGAGTGCAGTGGTGCCATCTCAGTTCACTGCAACCTCTGCCTCCTGGGCTCAAGTGATTCTTGTGCCTCAGCTTTCCAAGCAGCTGGGATTACAGGTGTGCACCACCCACACCTGGCTAATTATTGTATTTTTGGTAGAGACAGGGTTTCACTATGTTGGCTAGGCTGGTCTCGAACTCCTGACCTCAGGTAATCCTCCCACGTTGGCCTTCCAAAGTGCTGGGATTGCAGACATGAGCCATGCCTCTTCCTATTTCTTTATGTGTCTTTTTCACCTCACCTTCTGCTTCCAGTTAACTGTCAAGTGACTCCTTGTCTTTTAATATTTGGCTTGTGTCAGCTTTTCCTGAATCTTCCAGGTAGGGATGATCTCTCTCTCTCGTGAGTACTGTACTCCTATTGCCTCCTAAAAAGTTCTGTCATGTCACCCAGACCTTCAGTAAATATCTCTCACCCTAGACTGGGAATTCCATGAGGACAGGGATGGTGTCATTAATATGTGTGTCTCCAATACTAAGCCCAGCCCAGGGGCTGGCACAAAGTAATCACCCAATAACCATTTGTGGGATATACAGGATGTTTTTCCTACGTGTCCGAAATCTCGCCTTTTACTACATACCATCTCATGGGAAAGGTGCATCAAGATGAGCCACAATTCATAAGGCACTAGTGTTAAATTGTCACCAAGAATGTAAACCAAAAAAGATTCAGGATAAGACCAGGTTTGGGTTTAAGAATACTTTGATGTTTGAGATTTGTTTTAGTTGCATAGATTAAGGAAATAGATAGGCCTGTTCCAGTCAACAACAATTTCTGTGTGCCAACCACCTGGTGAAGGGAGTAGAGCAGAATAAATAATCCTCAGTCCTTGTCCTGCAGGAATTCACTATCTCATAATCAACTGACACTCACACACACACACACACACACACACACACACACACACACACACACCTCAAGAGAGTTGCAAAGTGCCAAAGGGCTTAGAAGCAGAGAAGTTTCCATCAGGAGGCTCCAATTGTGAGGACCTAGGAATTCCTTAAGGAGAACAGAATTTAAGCAGAGATTTGAGGACTCTTTAAGACTTTTGTAGGTGGAACTACAGGAAAGGTATTCCTGGCAGAAAACAAACACAGACCAAGGAGAGGTTCAGAGGTGGGGGAATGCCAGGTGTGCCCAGCGAGGGTAGAGCTCTTGTCACTAGAGCACTGGGTATCAGCAGAGGGTGTGATAGGAAGTCACTTTGGACAGGCAAAGGCAACTAAGGAGGCTGGGGATTTAAGATTTGATGACATCAACAACAATGGGAAGCTTTTGGAGATTTTAGAGGTGGTTCTGGTTCACGTTTATTTGCTCAAATTAAAAGAGTTTTTGTATTTAAGAAGAAATTTAGTAAAACCCAAAATAACGAACTAAACAAAAAAATCACTCAGCTCTGTGAGATTCACTATTCAGCTGCTAATGAAATATTTGTATTTAAATCTGAGAATGCTTACCGGGAGAGAAAGAAATGTGTTGAAAAAGTCGGCAAAGATTTCATCCTCTAGCAGAATTATAAGATTTGTAGACCTGATTATCTCTATATGGAGAGAAATAAAAAAACAAATTAAAAAAAAAAGATGAACCAGAATTGCATTCAGGTTGAGAAAATGAAGCAATCAAACGGATCATTTCACATTGCCAAATCTCAGCATGAGGACAGCCTTTAGGGCCATCCAATTCAATTCCTCCCCTTCTCCTAGACTCTCTTTTTCAGTATCGTTCTGCTTAAACACTCCCAGCTGTGGGGAGCTCACTGACACACAGGGATGCCCATTCCATTTATGAAGAAGATGAAATGGTTAGAAAGATGTCTTTTTTCCTACTGTGACTGACTTCTTTTACCTTCTATATGTAAAAATTATGCCCTCTGAAGCTTGACAGAATCTACTTAAGTCCCCTTAAAAGGGACAGTCATTTCCAGTATTTATAAAGACATCACAGACGTCTGCTTACCTCCAACCCTGCTGGCTAGTCACTAAGCAATTCTTCAACCCATTCCTCATACGGCCTTCTCTCCATCTGGTTCTCTCATTGGCTGGAGTGGTACCCATAACTGAAACACTTCAGATGCTTCCCAGAGCAGAACATAAGAGAACTCTTGCCTAGGTTGCTCCTGATGCTAGTGCAATGGGGCCTGAAGTGGGGTTAGCTTTGGGGGCTCTCACATCACACTATTAACTCCATTATGCTTTTACTTATATAGTCTCTTTTCAGAAACTCAAGGGCAGGAATTTACATTTATTCCAGTCAAATTTCTACTTGGTAGGTTTGTCAACATTACAGCCTGACAAGAGCTTTCTTGAATATTAATTGGATCATACAACATATTTATTACTTCTCTCAGGTGTGATCATCATGCTGCCCAAGTTAATTCAAGGAGATAAATGTTGAGTGTCATAAAGCCAAACACGAAAACTCCAGGTGAATGAAGCAACTAACTCCTTTAGTAAATTAGAGTTTCCTCTAATTTACTGTCTACACTCCTTAGAGCAGAACGTTCAGCTAGAGAATAATAAACTAATTGTTTTATCAATGGCCCAACATCACTTCATCATACCCAAAGTTCATAATAAAAGACTGAAAAATGGGTCCAAATATTATGCCCTCAGCTCATCTTTCAGTCGAATCCGATGAGGATAGTAAGTGCCACACATACTCACAAACATGTAGTTATGTTAACATAAGAAAACTAAACAATCATTTTTCCTGATGACACTGGGTGATTATTGGCTTCATATAATAGAATTAGAAACTCTTGGCCGGGCATGGTGGCACATGCCTCTAATCCCAGCACTTTGGGAGGCTGAGGAGGGTGGATCACAAGATCGGGAGTTTGAGACCAGCCTGGCCAACATGGTGAAATTCCATTTCCACTAAAGATATAAAAAATTGGCCAGGCGTGGTGATGTGTGCCTGTAATCCCAGCTACTCTTGAGGCTGAGGCAGGAGAAGTGCTTGCACTCAGGAGGCAGAGGTTGCAGTGAGCCGAGATTGCGCCACTGCACTCCAGCCTGGGCAACAGAGTGAGACTCCATCTCAAAAAAGAAAAAAGAAAAAGAAAAAAAAGAAGAAAAAGAAAAAGAAAATAAGCCCAGACAATCAAACACTGTTGTGAGTGACAGAGCTGGTATCAGCAATTGCTCTCTGTTCTCAGATGTCTTTTTTCTTGCTGTTATGTTTTATGTGTGTTTTATCTGTACCCCTCCCAAGCCCTCTGCTCTTCTTTTTATAAGCAGTCCTTGATTTATTTAATCTATTCCACGTGGATCATTTCAAAATCTGTGTTTTCAGTCCAGACTTCTCTCCTTGACTCTGGTTTGTTTTTGTTTGTTTGTTTGTTTGTTTGTTTTTGAGACAGAGTCTCACCCTGTTGCCCAGGCTGGAATGCAGTGGCCCGATCTTGGCTCACTGCAACCTCCATCTCCTGGGTTCAAGCGATTCTCCTGCCTCAGCCTCTCAAGTAGCTAGGATCACAGGTGTCTGCCACCATGACTGGCTAATATTTTGTATCTTTAGTAGAGATGGGTTTCACCATGTTGGCCAGGCTGGTCTCAAACTCTTGACCTCGTGATCCGCCTGCCTCGGGCTCCCAAATTGCTGGGATTACAGGTGTGAGCCACAGCACCTAGCTCTGGTTTTAAATATACATGAGCTATGGGACAGCTCTACATGCACATCCATCAAGCACTTTCATCTCAACATGTTCAATGTGTCCAGGCCTCCCAGGTTGCAACTTTTCCTACATTCCTGGTCCCAGTTACTGGAATCATCATTTATTAAAACCTGAGACTCTTCTCTGTGTCTCTGTCTCTGCCCCTGTCTCTCACTCTCACTCTTCTTGCTCTTGCTTTCTTGTCCTCTCTCTCTCCCCTCCACGCCCCCACATGCAATGGGGGACCATGGAGGGCTTCTCTTTGTACCTCTCGAATCTGTCTTCTCCTTTCCATCCATAAAGTTACTCTTCCATTACAGGCCTCTATACTCTCTCACCTAGACTACTGCATCAGCTTCTTAAGTCATCTCCCTAGCTTCTACCTCTTGCCCTTCCAAACACCCTCCACATACTGCCACCATAATCTGTTGATATTATTATTGCTAAAGTCTTTCGAAATCTCCTCAAAGTCCTAGAAGGTAAAGGCCAAACTCCTTAGTATAGTATCTGAGGCTTTACCCCACTTGGCCTTTGAGTTTCCTCCCAGCCTCATCTCCGCCTCTCTGCACACTCTGCCTCCTGTTTGCAAGCTAAGCCAAGGCATTACTGAGAGTACCTGCAGCTGCTAGGTACTCTTACTTCGAACTTCCATGTCTTTGTGTCCATATTACATTGCTTAAAATGTTTTCTCAAGCACAGTCAGCTTCACAAATTAATAGTCATCCCTTAAGAACTGGTTTACATATAATCTTGGTGAACCAAGAATGGTAGAATATACCGCAATGGCAGAATTCATCACTGTCTCCCTACACCATCATGTACATCTTTCATCATTACAATTAACAAGTTTTATTGCTTTTATCCACTAAAATATCTGTCTTTCTCATCAGACTGAGCTTGTGGGAGGAGGGACTTTGTTTTTGACTTTTCTTCCTCTAGACTGTAAAATTGTTTTTACAATGTCTAAATTCTGTAAATGTAGAATAAATTGTTCTTTCAAAAGATAATCTTCAATGTTTTTTTTTTTTTTTTGCCAAAGTATATCACTCTGTCATCCAGGCTGGAGTGCAGTGACATGATCTCGGCTCACTGAAACATCTGACTCCCAGATTCAAGCAATTCTTGTGCCTCAACCTCTCAAGTAGCTGGGATTATAGGCGTGCACCACCACACCCAGCCAATTTCTGTATTTTCAGTAGAGACTGGGTTTCACCATGTTGGCCAGGCTAGTCTCAAACTTCTGACCTCAGATGATCCATCTGCCTCAGCCTCCCAAATTGCTGGGATTACAGGGGTGAGCCAGCACTCCCAGCTGATGATCTTCAATCTTTTGGACTTTTGTTTATCAGTCACAGAGTCTAACAGGGATTTGTTGAATGAATACATTACTGAGCCCATCTGAAAACAGAAAAGTGGGGTTTGGCAGAAATTCCCTCGTGATTGTTTTTCACAGCTCCACACACTGCTGGTGTCAAGGGGCTTGCCTATGCTAGGGCTCGCCATTGACAAAATAGTCTTAAGGAGATATAAAAACAAGGCTCTGAACGTCCTTCCCTTCCTGATCCTCCCATTTCTCCATTCTTGTTTTTCCTTCTTACCTGTTCTGCCTTCAAACTTCCTAATAATTTGAGAAGGCTTTTAGCACCAGTTTTACGCCATAATAATATTGACTTGGCAACAAATGAAATCACTGCATAATCTCAAACCCCACACCAGTCTTCTCTCTGGAGAAGAGATGGCCCAATCCACAATTTACTTTCTCCCGCTTGCCTTAGTTTTCATATGAATAAGGCCCTGTCCTATCCTCAAAGATCTGGTGGCAAAAGGTAGGAGGAAGGGGAAGAAGGAGAAGGAGAAGGAAAACAAAGGCGTGAATAACACAGAAGTCACATCTGGTGCCCCTCAGTGGCTCAGATCTATTAACCATTGGGAAGATGAATGGTTTGCCTTATTTAAGGGACTCAAGGCCTTGGAGACATCCCTCGCAGAGACTCACCAGCATTGCTCATGTTGCCATGCTCTTCCTGACACAGTAATTTGTTAGGGGCAGAATTATCTCCAAGTCAACGGAACTTGATCCCTTGTGAACACAAAATGACACCTCCTCTAAGGGGTTCCAGATTCTATCAGGCAGTGACCTACTTACTTCTGGTATAGACCTTAATCTGAAGATAAGTCTTAATCTTACCTAATCTGCTGAATCCCCTTGGACATACAATACTCCTCCTCTACTTAAGCCTTTAGTTCATAGTATTTTATTTGACAAGTTCTTTATAATTGTGCCCAAGATCTCTTGTCTGCTCCATCCTCTCCCATGCTAGGGTGACTGCTGCGTTGATAAACTCAGCTCCTAAGAGTCCTGTAAATGATTACATTTGATGTGATTTTAATAAGCAATATCTCCTGGATATTCAGCCCATTTAAAATATCAACCTCCAGGCTTGAGCCCAGGTGTTCAAGACTACTGTGAGCTATGACCACACCACTGAACTTCAGCTTGGGCAACAGAGTGAAACCCCATCTTTAACAAATTAAAATTAAAACATTGGCCTCCAAGAGGCTTGAATTCCCTTCCTCTGAAGGCTCTTCAGACACCTGGTTTTCTTATTAAACAACTTTTTGTTTTTCCTGCTCTTCCCTAATAGGAAGTAAATATTAAGATGAAAGACCAACAGCCCTATACCCCTTAAAAATTTAGCCAAGAATTACTGAGAATAGAATTCTTCAGTGTCACACCCAGAGGATTAAAGAATTTAAAAGTCTTGGGATTGCAGGGAAGTTTGTATAACGTCTAAAAGACCTTCCCATGGAGGTGGGGGGAAAACTGGAAACTGGAAGGATTATTGTTGATAATGAATTGTCAACAAATCACTTACATT